CTTTGACAAGGCTTGTTAGTTCTGGTCAAAACACCAGACGTACAAAGGGGCAGTGGACACGCGAGCTGTCCCCTTCACTCCAGCCCTAGTGACCAATTCACTCGGGGTCACCACAGGTCAATGCTTACTCTTGAAAGTAAACATGTAAACAACGCACGTCGTCGATTGAGCATGGTTTGGTGACGTCTTCAGAACTCTGCAAAAGCAAGCTTCAGTACAGTTCACCTCTCCAATCGCTCACGTACAAATAGGACAAAGTATACACGGCAATGTAAACCGGCGGTAGAAACTCGAGAGGAGGTAACTACGGTTCAAACCTAAAGTTTAAACGACGGGCTCCGACAGTGAGCCAATCACAGGTCAGCTAGCCTGGTCACTGGGATCGAGTTTCTCTGCCAGATCTCGTACCCATGTGCGTTGTTCATGATCAAGGTCTGCACTTGCCAAAGTCAACCCCAGGGTGAAACTCAATCTTTGTGAAGTATTTAATGACCTTTATTGTACATTTTTGGCCCCCTGGGACATATACACGTACTTGTACATGTATGTAACTGTTATGTTTAAATGTCTGATATACTCTAGTACGTTCGACTTCCGATCTTACGTGCTTCTTCATATTATTGTATAAATGTAGGAAGCTGTATGATTATTTAGAGTTGGTTTATCGAAGACTGCAAGGAATATGAATGTCTCTTTCCTGTTCTCTGAATATCTGAAGTGGGGGCATTTAATTATCACATAATGCTTCTTTCACTATTATACTGTTACAAAGGGCAATCTACAGCAAAATGTACCTCGTCTTCTACTTTACATAAAGTTGATAAACTACAAAATTGGCAGATTCTTTGCTCTAGAGGAGTGCGGGTATGTCTTCGTGATATTCTATTCACAATTTGTGACATATTTAATGCCACGGTATGCCAGCAGCTATGGATACAGTGTTTTTACCACTACCCAGCTTCGCTACTGAGATGTCCAAGTATCAATCAAAGCACAGGGCAGGGCGAGGGTCCAGTCTGGAATGCGGTTAGGGTTTAAGTTCAGCCCTCAGCAGACAAGCGAGCTCTGAGGCCTAGGGGAAAAATATTGTGTTTCCTGTTTCAGTCATTAAAAGATTAGGGTCGGTAGGTTGGGATTATCTTGTTTGTTTCTTTCTTTCTTTCTTTCTTTTTCTTTTTCTTTCTTTCTTTCTTTCTTTCTTTCTTTCTTTCTTTCTTTCTTTCTTTCTTTTTCTTTCTTTCCTTCTTTCCTTTCTTTCTTTCTTTCTTTCTTTCTTTTCTTTTCCTTTCTTTCTTTTCCTTTCTTTCTATCTTTTTTCTGTCTTTCTTTCTTTTCCTTTCTTTCTTTCTGTATTAGACTTTGGCAATCAGTCTAGTGATTGAACTTATACAATATGCGTACACGGTACAAAACATTTAAGTGTTGGAAAACTGATTGTACAACGTTTATTTCATCACTAACATGTCAGATCATGGAGCTAGAAAAGGTCGATCAGCTCGCAAAAATGCATGTCCCTTGTAGGGGTCCACACGAAAAAGGCTTGTTTCTCAGCCATGTCACCAGTTTTTTTCTAGGGTCGGCCCGGAAACAGGAAACACAACATTTTTCCCTAGGCCTGACGGCCCTCATCTGATCCGGTCTCAGAGCGGAGGGGTGCCGGGCGGCCTGCTGGAAACAATTGACCGGAGGGTACGGCAGGGAAGGCGGGGCTAATCTCGGAGGTACATGGATGGCCTTGGCTCGTTTGTTCTAACGTTCAGGGGCTTTTTTTGCAGCTGGAGGCGTCCAATGAAAAAACTGCTGCACAACAGCTGTAAAAACGGCTGATTGATGGAACTTTGAAGTACATCTACATGAAGATTAGATAGGGAAGGGATACGAGTAACCTTCATCTATCTAGCTACAGTATAGGTGTGACGAGAGAGTCAATTCATAAAACCACTACTGGTAAACCGGACAAAACAGAACATCTAGAGAGAGTGAGATGCAACCGAAAACCTTACATTCTCTCACCTTACAATTGTCATAAGAGGTGCGTAATAATCATACATAATAGTATACATACTAGTATAGGTGTAGTAAGAAACCAGACTTGTGAGTCATTGTTTGAACATAGAACTGAGTATCTCCATGACCTGTAGTTAGCTTAGTAAGGACATAGTTGTACAGTAAAGGTCTTTCATTCACTTAAAACGTCATAATGTCAAAGACTGCCCATAGGTTGGCAGTAAGACAAAAGTTTCATCAGTAGAAGGCAATGTTCCGCCCTATACAGATGGCATCTTTTCATTGCTGCTGTTACCCGTTCACACATGTATTAAATGTACATGCACAATGAGTTACAACTTAACAGTAAGCCCGAGACGTGCTGTAACAATAATACACTTCAAACACAAAACAGGTTCGGCACGTTTATATGGTTAAACAAACAGCTGCCTGTACTGAAGTACAGTTCAAGGAGCCTCGACACTTGTCTGAGGATTTATTGACATAAATTACGAGTCTACGTTTGGCCCCCAAATTCACGCGTAATTGCAGCCAGCATGAAAGCCTGGCTGTGCCCGGGTGATTTACGTTCAAGCGACGTAGAAGATATAGGAGTAATTTGAATTGTTGATATTGGGTCCTAACATCCGGGTACAGTAGCTATACTGTTGGGCTATGTTTTATCAGATTCTAACTGCGTACAAGGGACGAGAGGGGGTAGGTCAAAAAGTACGTTGAAAGGGGACTGTAACAAAGTCGAAAACAATTAAAAGACAAACTTGACTGCAGAAAAAATACACATACACAACGATTCATCGTTAAAAGATAGCGACAAAAAACTAGACAAACATTTGCTTTGAAACAAATACAGCCTATTTATAAATGAAGAAGTTGAATCAATGTAACAAAATGACAGAAGGAGGAGAAGAATAAACATGGGGGAAAACAACATATTTCATCCATACAATGGTATGAAGTGAAATACATGTATAAAATTTTATATTTGCCGATGAAATAGAACGGTAGAAGGTAGAACTGTGCCACGAGTTGCTTCAACACACGTGAAAATTCAAAAACATGTACAAAGCAAAGGCCCACTCTATCTCTCTAGACCTAAATTCCTTTTCCCTATTTCCTGGAGACCCCTAAAACGGCAATGTGTTTCATGATCAATTTAACGAGTTTTCTACAAAGGAGTGGTCGCTAAGGAACGTTGTATGGGCTCGTACCCACCCATCCTAACCACCCACCCCGCTATGTAGTCAGACCCTGCCCTGAATGTAGCTCTTGTCAGGTCGCCAGACGTTCCTATGTCTGCTATAATGATGACTGTTTAACCAGACTCCCAGCCTACCGAAGTAAGGTCACACAAATATAAGGACAAACATCCGCCTACATGTATAGACCGTAGTCACGGTACGGTACAATCTTGATATACATGTGAGGAAGAGTGTTACGTTTGATATCTTACTTACACTTCACTTACGTTTGCCATATCATTGGTGCCTATATCTTGGAGATGGCCACTATCATTTGTAAAACAATGAGATCATATATATATATATATATATATAGACCATGTACCAAGCCTCATTTGATTAAGACTATAGTAGTAGCATGCCATGTTTACATACTTAAGCCAATATCATATGTAGTGCTTTACAAAAGAGGGAATGCATTGTAACTTAGAGACGGAAACGTTTTACGTACATCATGTCAATACACTATTTGTAAACGTCCATATTCCTGTCGCTATAGTTTTATAGAATAGACTAGTGTTATAATAGTGAAATTGACTTCTTTGTCCTTGTTGCCATACATTGTAAATGTACAACTGTCGAGCAATAAAGTTTCTATCAAAATGCGGCCTCATAATATTTTTAAGTAGCTAGTACTTCACCTGTGTTCCATGACAACTTATGTCACCCTACACCCCCCCCCCCTCCCATAATCTCCAAGCAGATCCCTTTCGGTGGCAAGACAGTATCTATTAGCCAGAGGAGTTTT